TAGAGCTAGTAAGATTAACAGCATGATAGTCTTTTACGCTGGAGAGCTGTTTGTTATGAAATTAGCCAAATTGTTTGTCTTCCCAAGTAMCCTTTCGGTSWTAGCTTCTATGATTTGACCTTTTTGGACCCGACAACGTTTCTTCAATAAAGTGTACATAGAAATCATAGCTACAGCGAAGTACGCATCGAAGCTCAGTTGCGTTTTCTCTTGTTCCCGGCTCCGCAACACCTTTATAGGACTTTCTTTTAATAAATGTTTTAGGCTTTGGCGAACTTAAACGATGTTTGACCAAATGTCGTCAATTACGTTTCCTAATTTTCCTCTACAAATTTCGATACGAATTGCAAATTAATTCAGTTAATTGTTTTAGAAAAGGGCGCGGCCAGATTGATGTAAGATCAATATGATATGGAATATGATATTGGACTTTGTCTTCAAAAAGGGTATCTAGTCATGACTGTAAATTACCAAAATTAACCAATTGTGTTTCATTAGGGCTCTTGTAGCCGATATGGAAGCTGTAAAGGAAATAAACAAAGAAATCCATTCCAAAATTGATGACATTGCCTCAGCRAATACCGCTGAAAGGAATTCGAGAAGTTTAGAGTTCTTTCGCCTCACTGGAAAAGCTAATTCAATTCTTCGAAGACTGCTGCTACGAAGCGCACAACTCGATAAAGAAATGCTTGCTATGAAAGAAATCAGYCATGATATTAAAGCGAGGAGAGAGGAGTACGCCGATGCTTTGGACGATGATCCTACCTTGACGGAAAATAAGAAACTTAATAAAGAAGCAGAGCAGAGGTTGAGTTTTGTAGTTGATAAAATCAAGAACATGATAACTGATATTGACAGTGGTGAAGACACGACTGCCTCGGAGACTGATGATCTTCCTGATACGACCCCYAATAGTGATAACTTCCAAGTTCGCGTCAGCAAAATCAAAGGGGAGGACGGGAAGGCAGTATGGACTGACGGGAAGGAGGACGAGCTTGCTGAGAACACTGGGACTGGCGGTGAAACTGAAATTGAGGAAAAATTAAAAAGAGCGTCAAAGAAAATGGAGAGAATGGTGAAAAATCAACTGGAAAATGCTGGAATCAACCCGGGAGGTGAGCGATTGATAAGTTATTATATATATTAACCAGATGCATTCCTCTCTGAGAGTTTCTTTTCATCTAACAATGTGCATTGATTGTAACTTTAATTTATGTTTATGTTTCATTCTCGGAGTATCCTTAGTACCTACATTGTCATACAACAGTTTTCTCACAGATCAATCATGTTTTTTTTTTCTTCTTGTAGGCAAAGTCCGCGTGAAAATCATCACTTCACGTGACGCATTAGAAAATTTTGGTGGTAAGAAAACCGCTGGCATGGATATCTTGAGTGAAGAAGAGACCAATCAATTTAAAAAGATGATTCTTCGTTTAATGGTGGGTATTATTTCAAATGTCCTCCGTCTAAACATCCCGCAGTACCACGATACTCTGCTCTCCTTGAAAAGTTGATATTTTCCCGCTGTCTTAAATTTGGTTTTGGTTTATTTGCTTTCGCTGTTGCTACTTTTGCAGCGTGAAAGGTTGAAAAGCCTTTGTTAATCTATTTTTTACCAAATGTGATTTTGTTGGTGACCTCAAACTTTGGTACGATCGCAGTCCTGTCTTATCCCATCTTTCTTGAGTAGTTTAATCGCAAGTTGACTAATGAAGTACTTTATCGCTGTGCAGGGAGGAAGCAGCGAAGCAGGAGAGGAGAAGAAACGGCAGATCAAAATGGAGGATAATTACAATCTMGTGTGGAGTGAAAATGGAATGAAGAAAGCACCGCCCCCAGAAGAGGACGAACCAGATGCTGAATTAGTATTTGACGATACAGATTTTTTGTAGTGAAGAGCACYACAGTACAAATATAGTATAAGTTTTCTTGAATACAAGAATGTTGTGCATTTTGTGCATATTTATTTTAAAAAAGGCATACGACTTGTCAAAACTGCATTAATACAATGAACATTGGAACAATGAAGAGTTGCAAATTATTGCAGACGATTCATCTCATTTGGTACAGTTTTTTCGTGTGATTTCAATAAATTTTACTGATTCAACGCTGTTCCAATTAAAAAACCGAATATAAATGTGAATAATAGTGCATAACATGAAATTATTATTTATAAGTTCACAATTTTATACACACTTTAGATATGATTAAATAACATAATTGAGTCTCGGACGACTCCTATTTGTCTTGTATAGAAAACAAAGGCGACACGCCATTTAAGATTATAGCTGTTTTAACAGCATAATAAAGAAATATATAAATCCATCAGTGTTGTCTAAGCCGTTTATTTTCTGCTGGAATAAAAGGTTTTGTAGAAGAAAGTGACTCTTTTACCGCCAAAAAAGTAATGCATGCTCGCGCTCTGGCGCACCAACAATGGCGGGAAATCTCAATATTACTGACCTATAGTCTATAAGAGAATTCGTTACATAACTCCTTATGTTATCGTTGCCGTCATTTTGTCGTTCTTAGTCATCATCAGCGAGCGTCATATTTTTAAGGTTGAGTGCAAATTTGAAACTCTTAATATAGAATCTATATATTCCATTATTTTTCGCAATTGAGAATTTTAAATAGAGAAAAATAACGCGGAGAACAATATTCCGTACAAAACGAAATAGAAAATACTGCTGACTGGTTATTTTTTTTGCATTGAAGGCCTGTATATCATGTTAGCCAATCAGGACTAAGTATAGATTTGGCGCGAAAAATCAACCAATATCATTGTAGGACGAGGCATCGACGCGGGAATCGATGTTTGCGTTACCGGCTCAATATGTACGGTTCCCAGGAAGGCTTTCAATTTCTTTGTTGAACTGAATAGCCTTTTCCTATGGACAACTTTGATAGAATAGAGAAGATTGGAGAGGGGACCTATGGAGTTGTTTATAAAGCAAAAGAAAAAGATACTGGACGTGTGGTAGCCCTAAAAAAGATTCGCCTTGACTCGTAAGTTTTGACTTGCATGACTACGTTTGAGTCCCGTGATGGTTCTTTGTAATCTTGTATCTTTGGTCGTCTGACTTCGCAGTAATCTTTGGTATTCTTGGCTATAAAAGTAACTGTGAATTATATCATCTATATGATACAAATGGTTAATATATAAATATGATTGAGTATAAAACTGAAGCTCTGAAGCGCTATTRAAGTATTATTTTTGAAAACAACAACGCTCAGCCGTTCTTGATGATACGAGAACAATCGACTTCAAAAACTTCGTGTAGTTACGTTTTGCTCAATTAATCTTCGTTTYTAATGTGTACTCTTCTAATTCTAGAGAGTCTGAGGGAGTGCCAAGTACAGCAATCAGGGAAATTTCTTTGCTGAAAGAACTATCGCATCCCAACGTGGTCAAGTAAGCTTGCGCAAGCAGAGTTTTATGATTTCAATGCAGTTACGACTTGAACAAATATTTAGAAAGATTTAATCGTGAATTTTACTGTATCCTTACTCTTTATATTTAGTTTTGTGTGTTTCACAGGGTTTTATTTTTGAATAACAATTTATTTATTGTTCATGCATTGAAAGCATAAGCTATATTATAAGAAGTTAATCTAATCAGCCAAGGTCATGTTAATGTTTGAAAAAAAAAATTGATCTGGGTTTTAGTCTCTCACATATATTKAATGTTTTCCTTTCCATTTTCTTTTGTGGTTTTAGTCTATTTGATGTAGTCCATAGCAAAAATAGCCTGTATATGGTCTTTGAATTTGTGAATCAAGATCTCAAGAAATACATGGAYTCCCTGCCAGCCAGTGGTATGAACATGGCTCTTGTCAAGGTAATATCCAAAACTATCYGTTTCCCCTTGTAACCATAAAGCTTTGTTTTGGTAATACAAATTTTGGACAGTGTAAGTTTGTTCAAAGTACTGTACTTTCATGCCATCATATTTTCTTAATTTCAGTAATACAAGKTCTGTACCATTGTACAGTCAAAAAAATCTGACATTGTACACTCAAAATGTTATTGTTTTCTGGAAATTTCAACAGARCATCTGTGCCTGGCTACATCCAGACATTCGTTCTTTCTTGTAATATTTTCCTCAACTATCTATTATAAAGCAACCAATTGWACTTCTCCAACCAACAGTCATATATCATTCTTTTTTCTTATCCTTACAGAGCTACTTGTATCAGCTGTTGAGTGGCATTGCATTTTGTCATTCCCACCGAATACTACACAGAGATCTAAAACCCCAAAATCTCCTAATAGACAAGAATGGAGCAATAAAACTGGCTGACTTTGGTCTAGCAAGAACAATAGGAGTSCCCGTAAGAACATACACTCATGARGTRGTCACATTATGGTACAGAGCACCAGAAATATTACTTGGTACAAGATATTACTCCACACCGGTGGATGTGTGGAGTTTAGGTTGTATATTTGCTGAAATGGTAAGTTTAGAATAGATTTTGACTCATTCTTGTGGAAAAAAAAAACATCTTGTATTACAGCATGCAGGTCATGTATTATGTGTGATGCACCACTTGCTAAGAGGATATTAATAATTTGTGCATTGGAATGCATTTTGATGGTTTTTTATTCATTTATTTATTTAAATACAGATTGGTGCATTTTTTTGCGCATCCATCAGACCCATGTTAGACTTATAGCCTAATAATATTAAATAATTTAGTATGTAAAACTGTAGTGTCAGTTTATTTTGAGAAAATAATTCCTATAAGACTGGCTCMAGCAGGGAAAATGTTTGATTAATATATTATCAATACTTAGATAACAAGAAGAGCACTCTTCCCTGGTGATTCAGAAATTGATCAGTTGTTTAGAATATTCAGGTAAACCCTCATATTATAAAAATATACATCATCTGTCATCAGTCTAACATTGTTCATTTACTCATTGGCATAACACATTTTGCTTTGCATTCCCTACCATAGAACACTTGGTACACCAGATGATAATATCTGGCCAGGAGTGTCCGACATGCCAGATTATAAAAAGTCATTTCCAAAATGGCCAGTTCAGTCATTGAATAATGTGATCCCATCATTACAGGATTCAGCTATTGATATTCTGCAGGTAATATGGCACAAAACCTYTGTTAATTATTTGTGCAGTTAGTAATTATTAATTGCATGTACAAGGAGCATTTGGTTGTGTTAGGTGTAAATGAATCTGTATATTCTCATCCAGGCAATAGCTTTGAAAAAAATAAATAATTCACTGTTCAGCTGAGTAAATTTGTAGCCAATGCAGTTGAACAGTGCTCAGGGGCAGATATAACTGGTGGGTTCAGGGGGTGTGCACCCCCTCCTGAGATCTGTATCCATCAATACTTTCCTTATTTTTGTATCTTCGTGGTAATGATTTTTGTGGTGTGCACCCCCTCCTGAAAGCTCTGCATCGCTTCCTGAGGAAAATCCTAGATCCTGGATACACATTAGTGCTGAGCAAGAAACATTACAATACGTTGAACTACAAGGAAACACACATGATTCTCTGTGACTATGAATTTCTTGCTTACGCACTTTTCAGACAGAATATTTGCCGTTTAAAGATAGAAAACGTAATGTTTTTGAGTTAATACTTCATCAGAGCTTGGTTCCTCATGCCTGGCGCCAATGTATGTTATACTATACCAGTTTTCTTGTTCTTGCAGCAAATGTTGACTTACGAACCCAACACAAGAATCTCAGCTAAATTAGCAATGAACCATGAGTTCTTCAAAGATGTACAGAGACAGTCTATCATTCCATTTTGATGTATCCCAGTGTGCAGACCTTTTTGATGATGCCCTCATATTTTGGATTGAATTCCTATTATTTGAATATCTGAGTGTTGGCGTGTCTGCCAATTTAAAAAATATATATGTGTACAGGTACATATTGTACATAACTGCTCTMGAGACACCAGTGGCTGGTTGTATGAATGATGGATAAATCAGCCTTTGGTTTTAGGTAAACAACTTGGAAAATTGGAACATTAACGAGTGGTAGATTTGGGTTGTAATTTRTATGATGTTCTGAATTGAAATTGTGGCTAAATAAATACTAGATATGTATCCCTTCTTGTCACAGGGATTTTGATTCAGAACTTTGCAATAACACACCAACTCTGCTGCTCTTGAATGTCTAAACTTTACAAGTTTGTTTATATTGGGCCCCAAGAGGTGAATTAMAGCCATCTAATCCATAGATTTTTTGTATGGCATTGTCAGCTATAATTGGATTTTATCCAGTTGATAAAGATTTATCAAGTGTATAGCTGTATTCATCTTCCATACAACTTCTCCCTGGGTATACTGGTCCATAGAGATTTTCTGACAACAATGATTGTATCTGTGCCATGTACAGTACTGGTAATTGTATCATATTAGGTCAGACTAGGATACATTTAGTGTGCTACATTTGTAAAAACTGTATGTACATGTACATAGATCCTCCATATTTTTTTTCACTGAGTTAAATCACTGCATTAGTATCAAAGTGTGATTTACAGGACWCAGTCATGTAGCAGGCTACATGTATCTTCATTTATCTTGGTCTTTCCTGATTTTCTTGGAAGCTAATGAGAAAAATTAATTGTAGTCAAAATTGGGTGCAAACAATACAAAAATCTGTACTATTTTTATATACTTACATGTATTACTAATTGTCCAACTAGCACTGTTCTAATAGTTATTGTGTTATGGATTTATTGTTTGCACTCTATTGTTGAATACACAGTGTGTAGATAAAACCTCATATCTTATCCAACTTGTATATAGAAAAATGTAGATGGCTGACATTATATAATCAAATCATCCAGAAATAACTATAAATCTTGCATGTTCATGTAACACTACAACACAGGCTGTCAATCTAAGTGTTTTTGCCATATCACAGCTGTATAGTACAGTTCAAAGGGCTTGTTTACCTTAGGTAGGGACGCCTCTTGAGCAAGAGTTACCTCTTAGACACCTCTCCCTAGGCCTTGTGTAAACAGAATTTTATAATTCAAGCTCTTTGGCCTGATAAAGGCCGGATGTAGCCTGTGGTTTGAATTATTGTTATTGGTATGGTATCAGGGCTGAATAATGAAAACTGCAAATTAAAGCAGGAATTCTATCAATATTATTAAGATATCCAATCTACAATATTCTTTGGTTACATTATCAGGTTCGTACTAATCTTTGAAAGAAAATCGGCAAAACTCTTTCATTGACACAAGGGCTTTTTCAAAATCACCGTCAGAATCAATGAAAGTTATTGAACATCCCTGGAGTTTTGTGATGAAAATGCAGCACAACTCCTGACAGTTTTTCTTTCAACTGCAAAATAGTCTTTGAAAAGAGAGTTTTTGTGCTTTAAAAGTTCTGGAATTTTTCTGATGAAAATGTGGTATGAACTCTGTATTAATTTTTGAATTCAGCTCAGATTCAGMTGAATAACCAATATTTAATTTTTAGAACTCGTTTGTTCGTTTCCACACCTTTCTGTTGGATGTGACACATTACAATGCAACTATCTTATGACAGAATTTGAATTTTCTTCTGGTCATTCAATAAGCATTCCTTCAATTATCATTTCTTAAGATTCTACAAATGCTTTGATTTATATTAGAATAATCATTATTATATAAACCTAAATATTGAGCTGGATTTGGTAAACTATTTACCTTCAACATTAAAATAATATAACAAAATTTATTAAATTTAAAAATAAAATATATTTTTAAAAACTTTAAGATTGTGAGTTTATCATTATTGTAATATTATTGTTCAGTGAAGAAAATCTTGATAAAATTGGCCCATCTGTAAAAGAGACATATGGAGCCAATAACAGAATTAGCCAATCAAATTGTAGTGTTCTCATGGTCRTGATGGAATCGTACTGCCAGGAAAAGCTGCAATATGATTGGCTACTTTTCGAATTGTCTAGGAAGTGTTTTTGGAAAGACTGTTTTCACTGTAGCCTCTGTAAGCAGACATTTTTAACAGTTCGAGGCTATTTTCACGGTAAAGTACATGCTATTGCTATTGCTGACTTTCCATACCCACCCATGCTTGCTGCAGCTGTCTCTACATGATCTACATGTATTCCGCTGTACTGTCTAGAGAATAATGGGTCTTTTAAAATCATTGTCCATTCTTAATCATCGATCTGATGGACAACGTCTTGTTTGTATCAAATGCAGTGACTAGATAACTGACATGACCATAATGTTTTATTAAATGCACCACTTGATAACAGTTTGTCACTAATTAMATCTGGTAGGAATGCTTGTCCTCAGTACTACAGTGTATATTTTATAATACAATAAATTACATTAAATTAGAATGGTTCAACGTTGGTGCACTTTTCACAACCTATGAAGGATATGATGTGATCAATAGTCTGTGTCATCTTGAAAGATAACCATGCCTTTGTATTAAATGAAAACAAATGGTGAGAGTACAATTGTAAAAGCTTACTATCGWCACATCAACAGACAATCATTCWAAGGCATCTATCATTGCAAGCCCACTGGTTGTCTTTGGTGCAATGGCACAGTTTACTTTCTGAAAGATGATGCAGGAAAGTGTGAAAGACTTCKGCAACTACTGCTGATCTGTCTAAACAATCATAAGGACATGTATATGTCCATTACACCTCATGAAAAGTGCACAATTGAACACAGGATAGGCGTGCAGGGTGTTAAACATTGAGGAGGCATGACAAAACAAAATGTGGAAAAAGAGAGGTCTCCCAAAGAGTCTGATACTCAGGAAGAGAGGACTTGCCATCGGAATCTCATTAAAGAAAGRTATTAAGCAAGCTAATAATATTGTTCAATAGAATACAAAGTCCTAGAAAATAGCCTCAAGTCCCTTGTTAAACAAGGGAATCAATTATATTWTCTTTGCATTCAGCATGAACAGAAATATTTGTACAAATATACATGTATCTGTTTATAACATAAAAATGATGCTGAAAAGTCTAGGGCTCCATATTTATATATCCAAAAGACATCCAAACACTACTGAAAATATAAGTGCTAAGCTAAAAAATTTACACATATCTGGGATTGATACAATAGGTAGGAACCTGCATGTTGTATGATAGAATGSATAAAGATGTCCTGCAAAAGGGTTTGTCAATRGATGGCGTTATACAGTACACCATTCGCCCTCAGACGAACAATATTAATTTAATGTTTTTATTTACATACATAGAGTTATAATGATTTTGTCACTAAAAAATCTGTAATGTTCTAAATTAAATGAAAAGATACATAGCATATGCCATAAGCACAGAGTTGAAAATCTTCTGAACTATTACATGCACATGAATATTATTTGGTAAATTGTATATAGGCTTTACTGAGGACAGTGCAAACCCCAGTCTACAAAAGCCAGCCATATTAATCGGCAATGGCCCATGTACAAAAAACACGTAGTTCAACATCCTAGTATCATGCAATATATGTATAATAATTCACTTTTGTAAATTCTAGTCAAACATGAAAGAGCTAGCCTAGATATTTGATATGTAATTTACAATATTTCACAGTCGAGCTGTATCTGGTTTACATTGCACCATAGTTGGCCAGTCAGCTCCTGATTGTAAATAATAGCCAATTTTCATTAGAGTCTCTGGAAAAAAACAGTGTGAATAATTCTTTTATTTGCCCTTCTTTTGGGCATAACCATTCAACAGTTATATCAAAAGTAGGCCATGAAATATTACTACATGTATTCTACTAATAAGTAAATAATATAATCATTATTCCATACATGTATATACACTAATGTGAAATTGGTGGTGTTATTTCAAACCATTATTAACTAAAAACCATAAACTACCATTAATGAAAGATTTTTTCACAATGAATTATAATTATTCTAGATATCTAACTACTTTATTTTTAACACTATATTTGAGAGCTTTCAGTTTGGCAGATCATCGTTATGGTGTTGATTGTACCAATTTTCAACATACATCTACATTACTAAATCACATTATATGTCATTCAGAAACATTTGACCATGAACATGGATCATGCCAGATAAAGCCAAGTACTTCTCACTAACCATGCTACAACTCCTCAGTCATCCCAAATATGGATTTCTTATGCACTTTTGCCAATTAAGTGTATCATTGGTCAAAAAGGCAAACTTAAAAAGCAAGACAGTTGGAAAAGGAAGATATTTCCCTATAAAAATTATTCAATTTTAGTGTAATGTTGGAGACACAATAGTCTCCGTCACGGTTACCTGCGCCATCTTGAAAGGTAGCCGTGCCTTTACATGGAAGCGAGACAACCGTTGAGCGTRCAATGATAGAAACCTGTGAATAATTCTCTGCAGGTGTGAAAGAAGGTTTCTATCATTGCACGCTCAACGTTCGTCTCGCTTCAATGCTAAGGCATGTCTGCCTTTCAAGATGGCGCAGGGAAACGTGAAGAAGACTATTGTAATARCTTATCAAATTTATTAATAATTCATAAAGTAAACACAATAGAAAATCATTGCCATGACCACATCTTTATATGAGCAAGAGATTTGTCCTGATTTGCATATGAATTTAWTTTCGATTTTCTTCAGTTTTAAATGCCCATAAAGGTCTCCAGCTCATATTTAATATATTACATAAAAGTTTGCCTTGATAACCGATAAGGWGTCTTATCGACAAAAGTGCATATTATTAGCATCACTTGCATTGTACCACCACTGTGTAGTGTACATGCAACACTTTTTACATTAACMAATTATCAACCTACACAACAGTTGCATCATGATCTTTGTCCTTGTCGATGGTGACAATCATGGTGTTTTTATCTATAAGTTGGGTTTCAGGTGTATCTACCATGAAATTGTGCTGGAAATCCTGGACATTACCCACTGAGAGGTTGTCAGGGCACGAGCCTGGACAATTATTGCAAAGGTCTGCTATTCTGTCCTCAACACAGAGGGCTAGAAGCCTGGCATCAGCATCCTGATCCCAACAATCTTCGATAGTCTCTTTGAGTGCTCTTATACCCTGGTTAGACAGGAAATTACTTCAGTTTAAAAATGATTTGTAAAATCTYTGTCTTTCAAAATATTGTGCATGATATTATGCATGTTATTCCTTGCACCCCCTACCCCCCTCACTCATTGTTTCTTGGGGGATTTGCTTGATACTCTTTGGGTGCAAACAAGGGGAGATGAGGTGGTGGAACCACAATTTCATTGAAATGTGCTTAATGGTACATGTACACATGACAAAGACAGGAAAACATCAAGCTTATGCTAATGTGATCACCACATTTTAATAACATGATAATAGTTTGCAGTATTAAAAAAACTATTAATATTATATTAATACAATTGAGACAACCCAACAGAAGCAATGGTCTCAATATAAATATAGCATCATAGACCTTCACTAGGTTTTGAAGCAAGCAAAGACAGATAGCAGCACTCCCTTATCCAACACATGGCTTGCTTTCCATGTGGGATAAATAATCATTCAAAGTGTTCTTTGTTCCAGTAAATTACGCATGTTTGGTTTGTTGTTGGTTTTACTTACAGGGTGGTTATTTTTCCAGGCATCTGGAAATCCTGGTCTTGCTTTTTTGAATACAACAAATGTATGCATGGCTTCTGATGTTATCATGGATCCTAATTCAGCCTCAAATGGCAATTTATATTCTGGTACTTTGCCTTCTGAAAAATAGAAAAACATACAGGTTTAAGGTATAACATTAATGCAGCATAAATTAAAATAATGATAATTTTTGTTTAACAAGGTATTGTTTTTGCAGATTTTTTGAATATTGAATATTACAGTCATGCTATATGTTAAACTGTTTTCGTTTTTAAAATCACCTCTTTCGACACACTACACCAAGACTTTGAATGAAACATGTTTCGTCTATTAGACCTTTTCAGTCATGTAAGCAGAAAGGATTAATACTAAGGCATTAGTTGTTAGCATTTTATCTCATTTATGTTACTTATTCATATATATGTAGTGAATTATGTTTTAATTGTGTTGTAATTTTGAATGCTTACTTCCAAATATGTCCTCACAGCGCATTGCAACCTCCCACAGGACTAATGCCATAGCATAGATGTCAATTTGYTTTAATGCACCCTTKATGTCCTGAAGATTTACTGCACCATCAAGAACCTCAGGRGCCATGTACCTCATAGTTCCAACCTATCAATAAATCACAAAATACTAACTTAATATTTACATACTAGATTTTTCTGCTGACTTATAAGTCTTCATATAAGGATTATTATTAGTTGGTATTTATTATGCATGTTCAATGCTCTTAAAATGATTGAGCAGTTTTTACATTGTTATGCATACACAGTACATACTTCGGTAATAAGAGTTCCATCRTCTGCAGGTTTGGTTGCRTCTGGTACCTTCATTGCAAAACCAAAATCTGCYAAAGCACACGTACCATCCATTTTCACTAAAATGTTCTTGCTATTGAAATCACGATGTGCAAACGCTGGCCTTGATCCTAAAAATACCAAAAGCTCACATAATTATTGACTGAGTCTGAGTCTTTTTCATACAGAGTAGATGACTATCCAATATTGTAAATTCTTTTAAGCAGTTTAAAATTATAGTGGTTTTCCGTCAACCATGAAAAGAAATAGACCAACTAGTTAGTAGCAATAAGTAATAGACTAGTCATTATAACTTTTAGACATATAAACTATAAACGAACAGCTAACAAAAAACAGACTATTTACCCGTGTATAAGCCGCACTTTTTTTCTAAAAAAAATAGTTCCCAAATCGGGGATGCGGCTTATCTATGACAAGACTTGTAAAAATGCCCGATAAAAACGAATTTGAATAAATTAGCATTCACGGTGCTACTTACTGCAGACAGTAATGTGATTAAAGTTTGTTTTACATGCCGGGGACAGAAATTTTAATCCAAACTTCTCAGTATTACTATAAATTCTCCGAAAATCTTGCTCTAAGAAACACAAGTCAATAAATTAAGGTGGTAGGAATGGCTAAAATGGGTGTCATTTCACGAAAAATTATTCAATTTGTGTTCAAAGTTTGTCCAATTGTATTATACAGTGGCCTTGTCTATAAAATTTTCTTCAAATTCGGAGGTGAAAAGGTGTGAAAAGTCGCACCTAAGGTGTTAAAATTCATCAGGTAGCCCAGCCATGCTTTTTGAAAATTACTTAATATCTCGCTAGCTTAGCAATGGAATTACTCCAAACTAGAAAATATAAAAGTACTTTGGATGTTTTATCAAACGCACGCAGCCCAGAATTTTTGTTGTTGTTGTTGCGAAAAAATTGGAACGTCAATTAAAACACGAACAAATCTTTAACCAAATAGTTGTTTGCTCCGGGCTGCATGGAGTTTAATTCTGGAAAGATAATACAACTTTCAGCCAAATTTGATGGCAATATTGTTAATAGAAAGCAATTTCCTAACATTCCCTCAAGTCCCAATAATGATTCAGCACACAGAGTGCGGTGGTCGGTCCAAGCCAACGAATCACCCAGGGCCTTTCGTCCATTAAGGAAATTATTTCTCTTCCAGAGAAATACATATCTTGAATAAAATGTCATTAAAAGTACCATTTTTGGCAGAAAACGCTTAATAACTCTTTGAGTTTTCATTCAAACGCAATATCCCCTCGCCATATTGTTTCTTACATCTTATTACGTCATGTCGTACGAATTTATATCGATTTTCTATTGATGTTCCTTTCAAAATCCTTCGTAATCTACGCAAGATTTTTCTCAGATTTCAAGGCGACGATTGAAATTTCCCATCATAGTTACAAGAAATCCGTGCCTTTTTACAGTAGTTCCTCGAAAAAAATGACTATTTTTATGAATATTGGTCATCCTATAATCTATCGATTGATGTAAAAAAATAACGAAGTTTTTTTTCGACCGGGAGCCGTTCCTACCACCTTAAACTGAAAAGTGCGTGGTTATTGGCCAATGAACAGAGAGCATTTTCATAAATTTGGTATAGATAATGTTTGAAAACCTTGTGAATTTTCCTTACTTAATATGAGATAAATTAGAACCTATATTTAAGAACCTGTGTAGCCTAAAATTCCACTAAGCACTATTTACATAGGAACCCGTTTAGGCTAAATTTGAAAAAAAAATYGGTTCTTATAAGCRGSTWAGTACTGTATATCAATTCCAAGAAGTGCATTATAACAAGAGTAGACTGTAACAACACTTGATACATGTCTAGACCTATACTAACTGAACTAGTAAACACCTGAACTGGGAAAAGAATTAATTAAAAACGGTGACACATACCATTAATTATTCAGACGTTTTAAACCCTTGCTCTGAACAACAATATAATATTCAACTCTATTTCATTCTATTCTATTCTAGGTTTGTACAAGAGGATTACCTGAGAATGATGACAACCATGCCTTTTTCCAAGAGTGATGTCTATTTTTCACTGCATAAAGAAACTACACTGATTTGTAATGCTGCATAAACTCAACAGTACAGTACCTGCCTGTCTGACATGGCTTAAATAAATATAGCATGACAAACCTTGTTCCTGATGAATGAAGGCCAGACCAGATGCCATGGTATACCCTAATGAACACATTTCTTTCCAACTGATCACAGTACGATGTAAGTAATCACGCAGTGATCCTTGAGAGTGGTACTCAGTCAGAAGAAGGAAGTTGGGGAAGTTATCAGTTGGCTGTTCACATGCATCAATAAACTAAAGAAATAAAGTGAATATATTTTCAATTATTATATAGATGATTTCTAACACGCGCTCTGATTGGCCAAAAAAGTGTGGTTTACAAGAGTATAAACCACGATTGTGTGCGAGCTATTTTTGGAATTTTGCTTAAGTTTTGCTCAAAATCTAATAAAACAAATAAATAAGTCTCAGCCTGTAGTTTATACTCTGATAAACGCACGCTTGGCATTTGAAACACACTCAAAAATGTCCAGAAGCACTCACTTTCAGCTGCCGTGCTTCTTGACATTTTCTCGTGTGTTTCAAATACCAAGCGTGCATTTATCAGAGTATAAACCACAGCTGAGCCTTATTTATTTGTTAAATGATTGATGTATTGATTGATAATAATGATTGACTGACAGTTGACTGATTGTTTGGTTGGTTGAGATTGACTGATGGTTGGTTGAAAGACTGACTCATAATATCACTTTGACTGTAGAATGGCTGGTTGATTTATCAACTAGTTGATTGATTGATTGTTTTTTAAATTTCTAAATTTTTGATTTATTGATAAATAAATTAACTAATAATTTAGTTTGCAAAATAGGACCTCCAATTTTTTTACTTCTTTAAGTTAAAATTTATCGTGGTATATTGAGGTGATGTTACATTGGCACCATTCCTGTATAACAAAGATGGCATTGCAGTACTCTTAAGTTCCGAATAATCGTACATGTACTTGTTTGTTCTGGCAAAATATTCCACTCTATGCGGCCTTATTTGGGACTGTAAAGTTTTTTATCTACGTATTCTTACCTTAATATTAGTTATTAACAAAATCTGAAAAAAAAAATTCTGGAAAATCGTCCAAAAGACGAACATTTTGTCTCCAAAATGAAAACAAAAACACAAGCAAACCTCAAACCAAGACCACAAATCGTCTGGTCAGCCGATTTGATCGCAATGGAGACTGGGGACAACTAGAAATTTGAAATTTTGTTTTTTCACTCTATACTATTATTCCATCCTATACTATTATTGGTTAATTTGGATTTTTCCACTCTATACTATTATTATGCTCTATATGATTATTATTGGGAACTTAAGAGTAGGTATAAGTAACTGACAGATAAAAATCACGATTGATAACTTGCACAACTACAATGTTCGTCCAATAATCAAATTTATTATTGCTGCTATGGATCTACATACTGTATGCATACCTTCAGAATGTACAGACTACTTTTCAAATCCAAACTTCTGTAGAAATCAAGCTCTGCTTGCCAGAACAGTCTATTTTCTGGAGAAAAAACTTTGACTGCAACAATTTTTTCATGTAGACTGGCCTTCCAAACAGTCCCATAYCTTCCTTGTCCAATCCGTTTTAAAAGTATCAACTGACTTAAATCTACAGTACATTTTTGTGGTTCTTTTTCTTCCATGTCAGCCTTGCCATAAGCACGCAGATTATTAGATGCCTTTCTGCGTATGACTATGTATCCAAATACCATTATTGACAATATGGTTACTGCTCCAACAATGCAGCTTAGTATGATTGCAATTCTATTTCCTTCAGCTTTCGCATAGCCTAAAAAAACAAGCAAAATACAAAGTCTTTAGAGTGAATGTCTGAGATAACTGGGCATACTCAAAAGATAGGGTTTGGCAGATTACAATGAAACTTTCAGTTGAGCCCCTAATAAACTACATGCCGCTTCTTTAATCCATTTTTTTTTTCTATTTGTCTTTTAAATATATCCTTTGATGAATTAATGTCTGTACTTAGTTTTGAGAAAATTGGCATATTTTTATAACTTTAACCTTGGCATATTTTTATAACTTTAACCTTGACTGAATTTTTACAAGGCATGTACTCCCTGAAACCCTTATGACTGAACTTCAACAAATTAAAAAGTTACAAAATTGGTATCTATTTTCAATCAAATGCAACAAGCTGGCAAGCATAATTACAAAGTCTAGACAAGCTGAAGGATACAGTAATCAATATAACAAACCTGTTACATTAGAGGGACTCTCTGTTGTAATTTCATATTCAACCATAGTGAAGTTTTTATTACAGTTGTCTCGATTACAACAACAAAACCCTGATACATTTTTCTGTTTTTTCATAGCATCAAAATCAGGTCTTTGTATGCAATCAGCTCCACATGGATGTTCTATTTCAGGCCTGTCAAAAGAGATTCTAAAACATCCTTTTCTTATCACAATGCCTATGGTGGTGTTGTCTTGTAGYTTTCTTGTTGACCAMAGCGCAAAACATGAGTTTTCGCCTTTTTCACAGACTTTTGTACCATTGATTGATGGGTCGGCATCAGAGTACTGTTGGCAGTGCTGGACTTGACTCTGTGTTTCTTCTGAAGGATAGAACAACAAGTRGTAGCTATAGGTATCCTGCTTATAAAATTCATTTAGTTCTTTCCCCGAGACATACATATACTTTGAACAGCTTCACAAGGATAATGTTTTTAAACAATGCGCAGGACAAAAACTGTTTGACATTTGCTGACATTCATTCAATTAAAATTTCCATAAATTGCCTTATCTCATGATTACATCATGCTAAAACATTCTATTGTTTTAAGGTTATGAGTATTTTTATGGTTTAGAGAGGGAGACAAAATGACTGCATATCAAAGAGAATGTGTCCGGGCAATCATCAAAGGAAATATTTGARACTCTACTCTCAGCGAGTAGTTTGATAGGCCCRAATKTCCACTGTTTCTAAGCATTTACATGTATTCCGCTGTAAATGTTTGTAAATCATTGTGCAATAGGGCAATTGATTCCAAAAAAAATATATGCAAAAGTAAATGCCAATAATGAAACCCTCTGACATCAGTCCTGCAGAGTATTTTCTCTGGAACTCTTACTGTGCAAGATATTTTTCTTTGATTCATGCTGTGCTAAGGATTTTTTAGGGGGTGATTGCTCGCCCCCCCCCCTCCGTGTCCCCTTATTAAAATTACATAGCTATTCAACGCTTTCTAGACAATCACTTTTACAGTTATCCCCGACCCTATTCTCTCAAACTTGCAGGTATCATATTCCTTCAACTTGAAAATCAGTCCTCTCAGAAAACATATAAACACATTTGAGACATCTATGATATAGACTTTACGATATATCTAAGATCCACCTTATTAAAAATCTTAAATTACAAGCGAAACGACTAAAAATGTTCAATCAAAAGATGACAAGTTCAGTAACATCTCGTCGATGTTTTTATCTCTAAAGTTATAATAAAAAATAATAATAACATGGCTATGCTTTGAGACCTTCGCCATAATAAAAGTTAAATTGCAATATCAATAAAGATCTCACCTTCATTGTTGGAATATACAACGACAAATCGAAGAAGACAGCACAGACACGCAGCGAAGAACCTCTGTTGAACTCTCATAGCGCCTTCATACTATCAACTTTTAGATATAAAACGATGTATTTTAGCACTAGTCACATGCCAAAGTATTTAATTATACTTTTATTAATTATATAATGAGTTCTGGTTGGTGTTAACTGTGAAATGGAGGAGAAATCTAGCCTTTTCATTCACGCCTGTTTCAGTGGTCATTGGAATGATACTCGACTCACGTCGACGATGCATGCAATCCAGTTTTGCAAATCTTAATATAACAAATAACATTGTACTTTACTGGTAAACGAGTACAAGGTTACAATGTCGTCTTTCAATGTATTTTAGCTTGAAAGTACCCTCAATAATGAGCTCGAAGAAAGCAAACTCTCCGCCAATTCGACGACACGAAATCCTACTTCAGCGTTCAACGTAGCAGCCTTTAGCTTACCTAATAGTTAAAAAAAATAACCTAAATGATACTCTTACCATAGTAATAATGTCAGAACGGAAAAATGTCCTTTCTGGAAGCTTTTTCCACAGAATAAATGAGGCTAAATAGTGATTTTTCGTGATGAACTGTCGTTTACAACAAGCATTATTTTCACCGAGAGACAGCCTGTCTGGCAATCGTCCAAAAGTAACCAATCACAGACGATCTTGTGTGTTTTGTCTAATGTCATTCATGAGGTGGTTCATAGTTGGTAGTTCATGGATATAGCATCTGGCTCATTACTCGGGCTACTTACATTCACGCTTTTCGATGAGTTTTATCATCCCTTGTTTGGTACGTCTAGCTACTTTTTCTGGGATTTGAGGAAGAATCAAGCCCGGCCTCGCCTGCGGCCTCCGGAGCAATWTTTTTGGGAGCACCTTCACCACGGATATGCGAGATAAGTTCTGGGTATATATCATATTTTGAATTCACGAAAATTAACAAATAATGTTTTAGCATAATATAACAGTCTCTTGCGTKCCTTTACAAATTACTGTCTCACTCCTCCAGTACTTGGCATTACTTTATGGGTGCAGGTCTAGTCACGCTAAACTTTGAATACTTTCAATATTATTTTAATATCACCTTAAAAGGTGACCCCTCCCCCATCATGCTAAAACATTGCCGTTGCAGAACATTTTTGGTCGCAAGAGCCTCATTCTGATTGTTAATTTTTTTTTAATTTTACTACTTTTTTTACAATTCTAGTCCGGTAATGGCTCGTCGAACTTATGTCCTAAGACAAGCTAATAATTTTATTTGAGAGATCTGAGTTTATCTGTGAAATAATTTTTACTGATTATAAAGATTTTTAAATCTTTAAATTACAAAATAAACAATGTCAAAATTATTATAGTACATGCATTAATTTTGTAAAATAAATGCATTTATATAAATAGGAGATCCTATTGGAAGTAATTCAATCACCTCACGAGATAGATTCGATAGTACTCATAGTGAAACTGAATCTTTTCGCTTTTTCTCCGCCTCCWTGTCGTCAGGCCCTCCAAACAGTCCTCCCATACCAAATGGCAAATTCATGTCCGGTAAAAGTCCCCCGAATAAGCCTTCATCTTCACTTTCTTCTTCTTCTAGTTCTGAGCTCTCAAAKACTGGAATTGCTTTCATTGCTGTGGCAAGATTTGTTTTTCCAGGAATAATATGAAGTAATTCCAGACAATGCCACATTTCGATTTCTTGGTCTTTTTCCAAAGTAAGTTTCCAGTGATGATAGTAAGAGCCGACAGCATCTCCACCGATGCACACTTCACCGAGAAGTCGCTTTCGGCCGACAATAGGCGAGTCTTTAACACGTAAAATTAAGTTAACTTGTTCAATTTTATCTTGCGGAACATCGATCAAAAATGATTTGTTGAATGTCGGTTCAAAATTYTTTCTTTGCACTTTTGTTTTGTTCTCGTACAGTTGCTTGGAGCCATGAACAAGGTGGACTTTGACGTAGGCACCTGACATGGAACAAAAGAAAGACGAAATCAGTTTAGTTAGACCAAACAACATCACCGCCACCTTACCAAACAACTAATCATAAAATCAATCAGAAACAATGTTGAAACGTGCGCCGACCGTGTCGGAGTCCAACCATACAAATTTCCAACCAAATCAACCAATAACAATTTGTGTGTTTACTCGGGCTACATTACGCATATGATGACCATAAGACGTTTTTGGATATACRTAAACATCTGTATTACTCAGATACGAGACATCGTTTTCACTGATCGTAAGTCTATAGAATTCTGTTATGATTTCTGGCTCTGCTTTTGTCATTTGCGGTTCCTATGATGCATGGGTTATAGCAATCACACTTTTACTTTTGAGCTTCTTGTGTTATTCTCAAACCCGACATTAATTATAGACAGATAGATTGGCAAAAAGGTACATCTAAAGCCGAACCCCTGCGGGTAGCCCGACTAAAAATTAAAGTATATAACTCCATATAACGTTGCAAAAACGCTCTATCTCGTGGTTTGTATACTCACTAGTAAAGCGTCTTCCAAGAGCTGGCTTGAGTCCTTTTATTTCTTTAATCTTTATAAGCAGCTGCCCTTCACCGCGGTAATACCGCAACACGACGTCGATATCCCCACGCTCAGCGCCACGAATCTGAAAACAAATCAGTGATGCGTTTGATCCATTAAAACGCCTCGAGGTACAAATAGAGCACAATCACATGACCAAAGCAGGGAAGCAAAATTTGAACACCTAAATTCTCCGACAAAAAGACGGAGTGTCTTTAAAACAACACATCCCAACCTTCCCTTGCGCTATGAACGCGAAAGAAGATCTTCGCCTAGCAATTTAACAATGCACGTGACACAAGTACTTTTTAGGTAAAAAAAGTTAAAACTAGTTAAAGTTTTAAGTTAAAACTGCGCAAGATCCTCTTATGTACTCAAAGGCGTGGCATGTATTTGGGAAAGCAGTTTAGTGAGAGTACTATCTTCTAATGAGTGACGTAASAAAAGCAACAAAAGGCTAAGAAATTAGGTCCCAGTCCCTTGATGAGCTGCAGAGCAACGTAGAAGATCGCAAAAGCTGGTATTCGACTGGTCGTCGATTGCAGACATGATAAACACACCCACCGATTCAATCCATTCAAGGTCTCCTTCATACAGCGTGTCTTTGGCCTTGACCTTGGTATTTTGTAAATCCACGTGATAAGAACCAATTAGGTCACGTGTTGAGATTTGGTTGTAGTCACAAACATGYACATAGAATTTTTGATCTTTGACTTCCTCGCTGGTCATCTTGATACGAACCTTGAATACAAATTGAGTTAATATATCGAAATGGACCAAACCTCGTTSCCTGGGAACCCTGGGACCCCATTGTATGTGACGTCATGATAAAAGTCTTTATCTGGCCATGGGGGTAAAACAATCAGAAGAAAAAAAATCTAACACCAAAAAATCCTAATCTTATTTTTATTTCTTAATGCGAACCGGATGATGAGGCATGAGGATTTGGTGAAATTTCCTTAGATGAACCTGAGAAAACAAATTTAATATGRTATTTCAAAAGAAAATATTTTGCCAAAAAACTCTAGTAATCATAYACATCTGTGTAGACTAATTTCACCAATATATAATGTAGCTACCTCTTCCTCGAAGACTGGCGACAAATCGTTCCTGACATACGAGGTCTTCGGTTTATGTTGCGTCATTCTGTGAAATGGAAACATCTCGACCTCTACATACTTGTACACAGTCCCTCCAGAGTACTTGACAGGTAGATCTTGACAGTTGTGCACCGTTACGACAAGTTCATTGCTGTCATTAAAACCACAAGTTAGTTTTTACGAAACAGGCATTGTAAACCATCAAAACGATGTTTGTTTACGAACTGTAGCATTAAAAAACTTTTTGAGTGATCAGAAAAAAACTCCGTCCAACATCATTATGCTTTTACCTTTCTTCCTCATGTCGCAAAGAAAATTTTACTTTCCCCAAGTTTTTCTGTGAAAAATAAATAAATAGGTAAATACACAAACAACACAATGCATTTATGAGAGCAAAYCTCTTTACTTCGAAGGTGCTACCACTGTTTATCAAGTTCTTTTTTCGTAGTTGTCTTCGTATTGTTGTTTTTGGTTTGTTGGGTTATATTATAGCGTGGCACTATAAGTATACGTCAGGTCTTCACTTTTCGCAAACACATTTTAGCAGCGTCCTGTTATCATACACATTGCACAATATCCCACCATAGCTACATATGACCATATCAGGTTCGATCCTCTTGACGTTTTTGAGCCGTGAAAGTAAAGTCAATGAGCGCATGCGAAATTTCTCGATGTCCACTGTTGCACTTGACAATGGTCTTTTTCCAAGATGTTGTGTCGACAGAACCAAAGCGAGCCGGGCTTTGGCTAGGTCGTAACATTTCCACGTCTTCACAATCGATGAAGAAAATTGCTAAGCAAGCAAAAAATCACTAATCCRGGAATTTTTGTCGAGGAAGTCAAGATAACCTTTTCATAAAATACCAAAAGATAAATCTATATGAAAACTATGGTATATCAGTGTCTAAATAKCACTCGGCAGAAATAGACYCTAATAACTAACAATATGTGAGTTTGTAGTAAACACTTTGCAGCCAAAATGTGATTATCAAAGCGTAACTTCTTTCTTGGACAGCAATTTTCTTCATCCTTGTGAACACGAGAAAAATGTTGTGACCTAGCCAAAGCTTCGCTTTGATTCTGTAGAACCAACATGTTGGGAAAAAGCCAGTTGTCTAGAAATTTTTTTCAGTGTTTTTTTGTATGATGTTTTTGATGTAATTAATACTTAGAGTCACTGATACGGTATCACTAAAAAGTTGATTCGAGACACTTACCAGTTGTTTTCTACTTGCAGAAGGTTGCACWGAAGACACGTTCACGTCAGGGACAGCATCCATCATATCCAAAGCTTGGTCYTGACTCTTTCTAAGATCCTTTAGCTTGCTAAGCGCTCTTTCTTTAGCTGATTTAAGTCCTTTCCATGCGAGASATGCAATTACAACTACTGCAACGATTAGGAGCAGAAGAACTACAACACCAACGATGATCCCTGTGGTACTCCCAGTTACATAAGCAAAAGCTTTGCCCGCCAATGCTGAAATACCTGGTAAAAATGGTTGGGAATCAATTAGCGAGAGTTTGCAAGCAATCCAACCCATTCGTGTGGGATCGCTGTGCTTTTTAGTTTTTGGGTTCATGCAATCCATGCCATATATGGACACAAACAAAATGGCCGAATGTGTTTTCTCTATGATATCTGCAAGTTTCAGACGCTTTCGAGCTTTAAAAATCGAGAAAAATATAGCAATCCACACCTACTTTCAAATAAGGTAAGATTACCATAGATGGCTGCTAAACGAATGATAACGTTTCTGAGTCAACTTTTTGATAT